GCAGGGATTGCAGGCTCACTCCACCACGTCTGACTAGATTTTGTATTTTTAGTAGAGATGGGGTTTCACCATGTTGGTCAGGATGGTCTGGATCTCCTGACCTTGTGGTCTGCCTGCCTCGGCCTCCCAAAGTGCTAGGATTACAGGCATGAACCACCGCACCCAACCATCTATTAGGGTTAAAGAAGAAATTTGGATTGCCATTTTAAAAATTGATAAGTAAGTGTATGTATTATGGGAATATTTACATACATTTTAGAAACATAATTATGTTTTTTAAACAAAAGTACTGTAGCTTGTCAGTTAGCTGTTTCATAATTTTCAATTATACAATAATTTATGAATTTCCAAAGGGCATACCTGTATTAACACTTTTACACATGATGCCTCACAATGAAAATTTAAGACATTAGCATCGATTTAATATTACTATAAATTGTGATTAATTTGACAATTGTATTTTTGTAAAACTTTGTCTAAATTTGGTATTTTTTCAGATATATGCCAATTTGTCTATTAGCCCATCACAATTGTATTCAGTAGTGTTACATATAGTACAAACTCATTAACATTAGTATCTTTTCTAAGATATAAGGAGACATGTAAACATGCTATAGTTGTCATTAAATATATATGTATATGTACACTTGCATATCAATATCTTTATATAATGATTAGATAAAGCCATTATTTTTCCCCACATAAAAGAAACAAAATATCAACCTTTAGTGATGGAAATGACTAATTAAAAATTTCTGTAATATGAATATTTAGGAGATGCTTCTTTCCCGATTTATTAATTGGTTATTCTTTCCTTCAGTCTGGCCAAAAAAAAGTGTATAGTATTGATGAAATGCTGTGTGAATGTGTGTGTGTGTGTGTGTGTGTGTGTGTGTATGTATCAGTGGTGGAGTAATTGTTTCATCTTGACAGGTCTAACCTGCTTTCCCCATCAAGGTTATAAAATAAAACTGACTGAAAACATGTTAGTAAAAATACCTGGGAAGGAACTGGATGCTTTGACATCATGTTAACTACATAGTTATGAATGCTGCATTTGAGCAACTATATAGTTAACAAAGTAGATATAGTATCTATTATATTGGATTATCTAGACTGTTAATATTTGTGTAGTAACAGAAATAATAAAGAGCTGACATTGCTGTGACTATTGGAAGTGGGTGAAATTAGAAAGGCATTTCTGTTCCAAGATCCTTCCTGTGGAACTAATCACGTTGTTTTCAGAATGCTTGTGTTGAAGACAAAATACTGCATGCACTCTTTTAGTACAAAGTCAGTTTAAGATGAGATTTTTATGACTGAAAAGAAAAGTAAATAAATAACTGGGATTTGAAATGTTGGATAAGATTTTCTACTTTTGAGTACACTGTTTGCAGTGAGATGAACTGTTTCTTCTGTGTATTTCCTCGCTATTTGCAGAAAGATGAACTCTTTCTTTTATGTATTTTTTTCACTATGTCTTAATTCTGCTAAGGATTGACTAATATTCTATCATTTCTGCAGGTTTCTGCTGTTTATTAATCCAAGTTTAATGTTTACGGCAATACTAAGTGTTCTGTCACGGAATAGCAAAATGCTTCCATCAAAAATGTATTACCAATACAGCAGAAGTCAATAACATCAACTGCTATAAAACAAGGTTGATTACACGATCTTTTTAAAAGACTCGTTTAGAATCCATGACAAGTTGAATCGTCTTTGTATAAACACACATTACTTCTTTGTGAATAGATATTTAGATTATCTGATTTAAAATGAGTTGGTTATTTCAGTTTCAATTATAAAAACTTTATAGCATATTTCCTAACAAACTATTAAAGAAATTGGTGTATCTAAACCTGATAGTATTAAATTTCAATGTAATGATTAATCTAAATCTGCATAAGGGTTATCACATATTAAAATAATTCTTATGAATGCCGCTTAAATTAGCAAGATAAGTCAAACATTTATTGTCTAAATATTTTTACAAGAGCTTAGATTCAGAAGTATTATCTGGCCCAGAAAAGACAGCTTAAGTAAAAAATAAAGTCTGTAGTATGTTTTGATTATGTTAATAAAATATTAATATTCTGGTTAAATACCTAATAACATAATTAGGTAGTACTCAATTTATATGTCAGCTTTAAAAATTCTTCATTCTTTTCTCTCATGTTCTCAACCATGGGCAGGTATTCAAAATGTACGGGAAATGGAAAGCAATGGTTTGAGGAGACTGATATAATCTATGGCAATATAAAAGAGCAATGATGGCTGGGCATGGTAGCTCACGTCTGTAATCCCAGCACTTTTGGAGGCCGAGGCGGGTGTATCATCTGAGATCAGGAGTTTGAGACCAGCCTGGTCAAAATGTTGAAACCTGATCTCTACTAAAAATACAAAAGAATTAGCTGAGCGTGGTGGCATAAGCCTGTAGTCTCAGCTACTCAGGAGGCTGAGGCAGTGGAGACCTGAGAAGTGGAGGTTTCAGTGAGCTGAGTTTGCACCATTGCACTTCAGCCTTGGTGACAGAGGGAGACTGTCTCAAAAACAAACAAACAAACAAAGCAGCGATAAGATAAGGCCAGCTTCACACAGCCTCTTAGACACTCCAGCTTCCCTAGCAAAAATTAACCATCATCTTTCTATAGTGAAGCCATCTCAAGGTATAGAGATTTAAGGGTAACCTGCTACACTTGTCAGCACCTGTCACAGTTTCACCCATTTAAAAAAAAATGTGTTGATGCCAATAATACATGATTAATATCCTGATCTGTCTTTCACTAGAAGGCCTGAGGCTGCAGTCACGGATGTATAAAGTCAGCAAAACTGGCCAATATTAAGTGACTGCTTCTATACATACATTTGTGTATAAGTGTAAATAATATATATTTCATATATACATAAGTTTGTGTATGAATAGTCTGTTTTTGTATTTTTATATGTGTATATAATACCTATATTTTTCTTACAGATATAAGGTATTTTTATATGCACACAATTTTATTTTCATAATCACACAATAAAACGAAGTAATAGGCAAGAAATGTACACTATGTGTATATGGATATAGATATATATGTGTATAGGTATATAAAGTTATTCCTTTATTATGTTATTTTTCTTGGAGACTATGTCTTTTGTCAAGAGGGATTTTATTCAATTCATCCAAAAAGACTACACAAAAAAGTCTTTTAGGGCAAAAAAAGTCCATTGCCCTAAATGTTTATAATTACAAGTCAAACAATTTAAAAATGTGTGCCTGCTTAGAACTAGAGCTCCAATAATACAAATAAAACTGCATGGCCAGATGGGAAAGAGTACCTCAGATTTGCAATAAAGTGAGGATGCCTGATTCCATTCTTCATAGGTACAATCCTAGAAAACAGTATCATACAATGAGTTAGAGCAAGAACGTTGGAGTCAAGGAGGCCAGGGCACTGGCTCTTGTATACTACTAGATACATATGCAATTATAAAATTAGGATTAAGTGCAAAATTCTTGCAGTTAATCCTAATTTTATAATTGCATATGTATCTAGCAGTATATATTTCATAAATATATTTAAGGGTTAAATGAGATACTCTACTATGAAAAATTAATAGAAAATGTTAAGCACTGTTTGAATTACAGCATTTATTAACTTGTATTATCATATATATTTGAGCTGTAGAACTTAATGTTTTTACATTATATACATAGTGAAGTGATTACTATAGTCAAGCAAGTTTACAAATCCATCACTTTTCATAGTTATCTTTGTGTGTGTGTATGCGTGTGTGCATGTGTGTGTGTGTGTGTTAGAGAAACTAAAATCTACTCATCAATTTTTCAGGATACGATACTATTTATCATAGTTTTCATGCTAGATATTAGATCTGTAGTCTCATTAGTTCTACATAGTTGCAAGTTTATAATCTTTGACTTACTTCTACTCATTTTTGTACACTTACATCCCTAGTAACCACTGTTATACCCTCTGTTTCTATGAGTTTGAATTTTTAGATACTACATGTGAGATTGTGAAGCATTTTTCTGTCTGCTTTTTTCATTTACTGTAATGTCCTCCAAGTTCATCCATGTTGTAAATTATAGTATTAAAAGAAAACACAGGCATTTGTTGAGAATTTACTATTTAGTGACTGCAATTTACAGATTACATGGATAATATCATTTACACACAATAATTCCTAACAATAGATATTATTATTAGATGTTGCAGATAACAAATGTGAGGTTTAGAATTTGAGCATGTTGCTCAAGATCACATACTTAACAAGGGACAGAGTCAGTATTTAAAATCGGTTTGCTCTTAGAATTGTTGTGCTTACCCAATATGCCGTTAACAGCCAAATAATAAAAGTTAGCAGAGTGTTTATTATCATCATTATTACATGTGGATAAAGAAAATGTATAATCCATTAGGACTTACTTTAGTTCCTTGAGAAATATTTCTCCATTCCCTCTGCACAGAGATTTTAATGTATTTACATTTTCTATAAATATTATTGACTTTACTACAATAAAAGATAACGAAACTCTTGTTCAAACAAAGGGAAGAAAGACAGGAAATGAAAAATAAATTAAGATCACAAGAAGGGTTTGAGTCCTATATGCTCTATGAATGGATCTCAGGAAGTTTCTTGAGCCTATTTCCTTTTATTCAGAAAATAAATCTTCCAGCTATGAATTTCTTAAAGATCTCATGATATAAGACATACATTATATTAGATACTTTGTCATTCAGAAGCTTTTTATAACTATTATACTGTCTTCCCCATGATCCCCCTGCAATAACACTTTGAAGTACTATTTATCATTCCATTTGGAAGAAGTAACCATATTCCTGCTTCCAGTACAATTCATTTCATTAGTAAGTAAAGTGCATGCTTTAAGTGAAAGTATGTTTTTTAAATACATAAGTCTCCTTGCCATATTTCCAGAGGGCATGACAGAATATTTACATTATTATTTAATGACAAAACTCGCTTCTTTCTAGGAGCAATTTTTGATGAATCTGCCAAAAAGGATGATGAGGTGTTTCGCACAGCAGTCGGTGACCTTAATCAGAATGAGGAGATCTTACAGACTGAGAAAATCACATTTTCAGTGACGTTTGTTGATGGCAACAACCCTTTTCAAGCAGTTCAAGAAGGTAAGGTCATCAGTAGTCCACTATTAATTAATTTATTTTTCGTTCAATTTAAATGGCAATGAAATTATCTTTGATGAAACCTATTAAACATGCACATCATTTTTGTATCTTTGTTGTAAATAGGGCATTATTTTCCTTGGAAATCACTGTTTCCTAGATGTGAATCTTGTATTCCAGTTTTGAAAGGGCAGAGTGTGGAAAGTTACTATATTAATTGAAATATAATATGAAATGTACAATTATTTACATGTAAAAGCTTTGCAACATTTTTATGACTTCAGTGTAAATGAAACATTTTTTAAAAATACTATTTTCTGCCACAATGTTTACTTTGGAATTCTCTGAGATAACTGCCACCTTGGGTGTTGTTATAACTTGTGATGACATTTCAGGTGTACACATACAAATGTATTGCTGCAAGAAAAACCCTTGGACACTACATACAAATCAAACATTTTGCACTAGGACTCTAACATACTGACCTATGCTATACATTTTTGCACTCTACAAGACACCAAATATTAAAGTGCTTTCCTCCTTTTTCTCTGTAAACTTAAGTTAAAATTTTTCATTGGTACAAAGTAATAAAAATACCAATTATTATTAATATATTGGAATCATCATTCCAATTAATGAAGGTTTTGATTGAAAGATCTTACCCAAATGGAATTTTCTGTCTTATTGCGTTAATATAATGAAATATTTAGCCTCTTGATCCAGAAATCACTCATTTTACATGAGACTATTTGCTGTTAATTGGGATGGTCTGAATGTTTGTGTCCCTTCCTACCCCCTGCATATGTTGAAACATAATTCTTATCCTGGTGATATTAAGAGGTGGGGCCTTCAGAAGATCATTAGGTCATGAGGGCTCTGTCCTTATGGATAGGATTAGTGCCCTTATAAAACAGGCCCAAGGGAGCTTGCCTGCCCCTTCTGCCATTCGAGAACTCAGCAAGAAGGCACCATCTGTGAAGTAGAAAAAAAGCTCTCACAGGACACCAAATCCACTGGGCCCTTGATCTTGGACTTTCCAGTCTCCAGAACTGTGAGCAATATATTTCTGTTATGTATAAATTACTTAGCCTGAGGTGTTTTGATATAGCAGCCTAAACTAAGACACTAGTCTACCTTATTTTTATTGTGATAATGTATTTAAACTGAAGACAATAAATGCAAAATTAATTTAATCAAATAAAACTTTTGCTTCATTAAAATTTAAATAGGATTTGGCAGAAGAAAAGGCAGCTACCACATTAACTGTAGCAAAGTTCAGCGGGATTTTTTTTTTTAATGCAAACATTAAAAGAGTAAGGAAAATAAACAAAAGTGTCTGAGAAAGTGTACTTTTCATTTACTATTTTATCTGTTTGATGTGCAGGTAACCTTTATTGAAACATATTTTCAATCAACAGCACTGGCTACTTTTGAAACTTATTTGTGTTTACTTCTGTTAGTTAGAAAATAGATATGTGATTGGTGGTCTAAAAGTTTTCTCATTGCTAATGGAATGGAGTAAAATATCATTTTTTTTAATAATACAGAACTGTTTTAAGTAAGAGCTGGCTTTACCAAAAATAGGATGTTTATAATAATAAGATAAAATTTTCATTTTTAATAAGTAAACATTAATGGAAAAATTCAAATTGAAATAAGCATCCAGTTATTTACATTTTAAAATCAGAATAATTCTGACAAGGATTTAAATACTGGAAATGTTAATAAATTTTCTATGGAAATATTTAAAAGCTGTCAACATTAGGGTTAGAAATAATAGAAGGATCTGGAAAAAAGTAGAATTTGAAGAAGATACCAAATAATTTTTAAAATATATTCAGTATTTTTCTTCCTCAACTCTTATTTATAAGGACAAGAATGTGAGCAGGAAAAACATGAGGACTGAATTATCTATATTCTGAGTAATTACATATTAATAATTGTGAATTAACTTCAAAGACATGCTAAACTACCCATGCTTTTTAAAAACTGACCTTACTAAAGCAGTAGTAACAAAAAAATGAAATGAAAACAACACAGTGGTGAGAAACATGAATTATGAAGTCAGAAAAAAAAGTCCCTCACACCTTTATTAAAGACTACAATTTGAATAGTTCTGACAGTTTTTTAAATACATCTTTTGTTTTTTGTTTTAACATTGCTCTCTTTAATCTGCTACCAGCTAAAATCTGAAAACAAAAATATCTTGCAATAGTGACGTGATGGCACTGAAAGCAAATTGAGAGAGATAATAAGGTTCCCAGATAGAGTCCACTAGATATTTGTCAGGAAAATGAAAGAGCTGGACAGTTTGCTTGATGGTTTCTGATACCTACAGGATGTTCTCCACCAGTTATTTTGATGGTCAGCTTTAGGTAATAAACCTGAAATAAGTTCCAGGAAGCTTTCAGGATAATTTGTTTTCCTATTTAATATCAAGAAGAGCTTCACTTAGTGTTAGAAGTAAAAATAATTATTTGTGGAAGCTGTTTTGTTTTTATTATTTTGGAAAATAGTGGTTTGAAAAAATAAGAGAAAATATTCAATTGAAAGAGAATAAACAACCAATTCAGAAGTACTGTTTTCTTCAGTGTTTTCAGGAAGTAACTTAGGAGAAAACCTTAATGGTGCCATCAAAGATAGTCAACTTTCTCTCACATGTTTCACTATTACATGTTTACTGTTAATACTGTGAGAACTTATGATGAGAGGGTCTAACATCACCTTGGCAGTTTTCATTTTTTTTACATTCTAAAGAAGGACAAAAGATTCAATGATACAATTATACCTGATTGCTTACATATTAGCACTCCTAATGAACTTATAGAAAAACTCGTGGTTTTGATCCCTCTGTTTATTTGAATTTGAAAGTCTCATTCTTGAACAAATAGCATAATGAAACATAAAGATACTTAGTAGTAATAACAAATAATAATAGGGATCATTCATAGGTTAGTTAAGTAAAATTGAGCCTGAAAGCCTCAATTTATTTTATTGTTAGAATTTCCTCTAATCAGCCACATTTAAGAGCTGATTTTTTATATTGAAAATCAAAATTTCTTTTTATTGTATATTGCTACTGTCATCACTTAATAAGAGAATTCAGTGACATACAGACTATATAATCCATACATGGTCATAAAGAGTAGTGTATTTTTGAAATCTTCCTTTGTAGCTTTGGCTACAGTACATTTTTGTTTAGCAATTAATCTTTTAGAAAATGAGTTTCTGGACAGATAACTCAGTTATAACATGGGGTTAACATTCCATTCTCTGGAGAGCCATGACCGTATCTGTTAATTTCTCAGTATTTGGTAACATCACTTTCAGACCTTTTAAATAAATGAATAATAGAAAAACAATTCTGTTTTCACAAAAGTTATCTGGAAATAAATTACCGGTTTTTAGATTATTCTTTTTCCCTTTCTTATGAATATATTTGTTGATAAGCCATTCTTCATCTTTTGTGTATTGAACTGTGGGATATTAACCAAGGGCAAATATTTTTTCAAACTTTAACTCAGGAGGTTTTATTGACAATGTTTTTATTTTGAATAAGCTATTTTGGTATCTAGGATGTAGCATTCTCTTTAAAAAGATATAAAAGAAAAAAGAAAGTTATATGGGTTGTTTTTTAAAACCTCGAGAATTATAGGAGTGGAAAATTATACAAATCTCAGTGAATATTTTCACAACTTAGATGAAATAATTGTGACCCAGAGAGGTTAAGTAATTCTCCCAAGTTCTCATATGGTTACCAGGCATGTGTGTAGCAGAAAAAGAACTGAACCACGAATTCCTTCACATCACTAGTTCAGTATTTTTCTCGCTGTATCTAATAACTATACCCACCCATGCATATATACACACACATGAGATAGCACAATGTATTATAGGACTTCAGTAAGTACTGTAAGGATTGAAAAAAGCAACAGATTTATGTTCTGATATTTATTTGCTATTTATTATTTATGTTAAAGGCATAGAATAGTAGGAAAATTTCAATCTAAGTGATGAAGAACAGTACATTATATAAATCAACCTTTTTCTTTTGACCTTGGTTTTCCTCATCTGTAAAAAAATGACGAAATCTGAACATAATGTATTTTAAGGTCACTTTCATCTCTGTGGTTTTATAACCTTTAAGGACACAGTTCTAGAATTATAATCTTATAGAAATGATCATTATTTAGTGTCCCTTTAGAGAAGATTTCATGTTGCTGAAATTGCCTCCGAGTTTTTCTTTGTCTGACTTAAAAATAGATTAAACAGATGTGGGGCACCCATTGTTTGTTCTGCTACTTCATTCAACTATTCACCACAACCCACAGAACTCATTACTACCACTAGAATCCAAAGGGTTTTTTGCTGATTCCCTTAACTTGAATGAAAGTAGCTGTTCATAGTATCTGTTCATACTCTTTTTATTCATAGGTTACTCTTGTTATTTTTCTCTTATCGATTTCTTCTTCTGTGGCATCTATGTACAATATATAGCATAGATGTACAAATATTTGTTGTGAAAAACACTGCTGTCATTTCTGAAAGCAGTACTCATTGTTTATATTATTAGCTCTTAGATGAGATGAATAGAAGATGGGCCATGAAAGGTGGAAATACATAAGAAAACAAAGTCAGGAAAAGTAAGGGTAGTATATTTGTAGAAATTCTCAAGTCAAAAGGTGAATAAAGAAGTATGAATCCATATATAATTCTTACATGTATTTGATGTGTCAAGAAGGAAGCGAAGCATCATTCTTTGATATTTAATGGCAAGATTCAGCTAAACCATTCTGAATTAATTGCACTTATTAGAAAAATACCTAAAAACAAGCTGCATAGTGAATATAAAAGCAGAATTATGCTATAAAGTCACAAATGATTCTATCTGAATGACAATGTGTTAACTGTAATAATTATTTTTTCTTTATGTATTCTAAAACATAAACAGTATCATTATAATTAATACCAGGTTTTTGAAAAAATGTCCAGTGCTTTTTGAAATATAAAAATTTGAATCAATATATCAAAGTACAATTCAGAGAAGCAAACTCTTATTGTAATGTGCAGTAATGGTATTCATTAAAGTTAAGCTGTTGTGATGCTGGAAATATGAACACAAAATAAACATTATTTTAAATACAAAAAACAATTGTACTTAAGAGAGAGCATCTTCCAAGTTTCAGTCTGGTCCACCTTAAGATTACTTCTTTGCATATCTCAACACCAGTGTCGATTATACATTGGACTTGTAAAGGGTAAATATTTTACTTTCAAAAAAATAACAATCTCAATTGGATCTGCCTCATATATCTACCAAAAGAAAATAATTGCCAGTATATGATTATGCTTGTAAAAGAATGCAATTGCATTCATTTTTGGTCTATGTTACCAATGTCATTTCTTTATAGTTATATCTAAAATACATACATATTCATTTCATGTATAAAAATGGGATGGTAGGAGATTA